TTTATTTTAAAGCCTGGTCACCAGAACTGAACAAAGCAGTGGTTTGGCCACTACTGCAGGTAAGAAAAATGCAGCTTCCGACTTCCTATTGAGTAGCCTGCTGTAGGCAAATAGGTATCTTTCAGCATTCTTAAGACAAGTGGTAGTAAATATCAGTCTGATATGACAATGAAACTTAGCAATGTGATGGATTGAAAGTATGATAAAAGCAAAAGACATTTCAAAGTGTACATCTCTGTATGTTTATTTATCTTTAAGAATAGAAATTAGGGTGTAATAAAATGCCACATGAGAAATTGTCATTAACTAGTGGAAGTGTACAACTTGAGTATTTATCACAGGATTGTTTTAAATGGAACTGTGACTTCCATTTTGCCTCTTACTTACCTATCACTGTTGCTGTTACATGGTGTGTTCTGAGTTTGGGTTTATTTGCTTGAAATACCTGTTGGTTTGTATATAGAATATAATATCGATGAGTTCAATGTTGAGAGAAAATATTGGTGCTATTGCTCGTTACAGGGGAAAAAAAAGAAGGGCCGTATTTCCAGATTATTATGATTTATTATTACTAACTACAAGTTTATCTGCTTATCAGCTACTTGTGTGCAAACAGCTCTGAATCCAATAATGCGTGTTGACTACTGTTCAAAAAAAGCTATCACTGAGTTTCCTCTACTAATTCAAATGTTAGGATAATTTAATCTCTTTTTGTTCAAATTATAATTTACCCTAGGTTTTCCTTACAGACCTTCTACTGTCCTAGTTCTTAATTCATACGTTCCAGTGAGAGATTCTCTTTCTGCATTAGATCTCTTTGAACATGCCCCATTTCACTTCTGATATGGTTTTGCAGAATCTCCTTTTTGCCTCTGTACATCCCTTAGCCCTGTTCTTCTGCAAACTTCTAGAAGCTGCTTCTCTGTTGTACAGTTTGTGGCATCTAAATACCACAAATGGGGTGACAACAGACAGAGCCCAACACATTCATCTTCTCTATATTCATTTTTCCTTTGTTTCTTTCTTTCTTCCACTTTCTCATGCTTACTTGCCCCAAGAGCACGCCTGCATTTTTACCTTTCCCACCCTCACTTCTCTTCCACTCCCACAACAAGGTCACAGTAGAAAAAGTTGCTCCTTCAGGAGAGGACATTTTTAAACTTGGTAGGCTGTAAACATCAGTCTAGAATGCTGTCTTGGCTCTTCTTAACCACAACTCTTTTGTGAACCTTTCCTGCTGCCTGAAGCGGAGACCATCACCTCAGCTTTTAATAGCCATAATTTATAGTTGGTTTTGGAAGATAAACACTCTTACTAAACCTAATTCAGCCACCTCAGGGACCTGCAGATGAGAAGAAAGAGTTCAGAGAGAAGCTTATAGAGATATGGGCTGCTGCTTCTCACTGGAGAGAGCTGCCAGTGCCTTGTGCCCATTCTGTGGTGGCCATTGCCTATCCCAGGCATCATGCCTCATAGATGTCAAGCACCAAGATGACAAAAGACTGGCCTACACTGATAATGTATGTAAAAAATGAAAAATCACAGAAATGTTAGAAGGTGCTTCTTGCTTTTAATTTGAGGACCAGGAAGTAATTCAGCATGGCTGGGAGTACTCATATGTTTTGCCATATTTGTGATACAACAAAGTGAGTCATGGACAACATGCTTCGCAAACTGGCGAGGTTCCCAGCCTCATCCCTGATGTCTTCCTGATGCCTCACAGTTCCTACTGAGCCTGCCAGACCTCATGGTTTGAGCCCGGCAGAGCCTGTGCTGCTGCAGGTCATGGACCCCAAGGCTGCAAACCATCTTCCTCGGCAACCAGTGCTATCTGGCTCTGCAGTCTTGCATATCCTTGATAGCAGTGATTTTGCCTCATGATCTCCACCTGTGAAAGCCCTGTGTGAAACAAAGAGTATTCCCTGTGATTGCTTGTCACTTATTGGAGATCAGTGGTGGGAGACAGGCTATAGACAAAGTCAGTCTGCAAAGGTGAGAGTAGCTTATCTTTGTCTGAAACAGAGCCAAGAACAATATATCAATGTCCATACGTATTTAACTCTAAGGACTGACTCAGGATTTGTCTTGCTGAGGTGTAATTTTGGAAGTTGAGGTATGGAAGTTGTTTTTCTTCAGTAAAGGTAGCTGCTATCAGAAGGTGATTGGTAGCCCTGCTGCTTTGCCTGTACTTTTGATGCTTGCAGAACAGTTAATGCAATGCTTTGCTGAAGTCTCATGTAATGTTGTGTCACCATGACACGCATACAAAAATAAAAGCACTGTTGTGACCGTGATGTAGCCAAATTATTACCACCCTGTTTTTCCAGTATTTGGTTAAAAAAGAGGTGGTGGGTTTTTTTTTATGTTTTAACAGGAAGTTTTAATATCATTCTGAGTAATGGCATAAACAATAGCCAAGTGACCATGTGCAGTTTCAGATAAACGAGATTTTATGAATTGAACACGTAGCACTGAAAATATTTGTCCTTCAGGTTCTTGTAGGGACAATGGTGAGAAAGAAGGAGAGGGTTTTGTAATGATGAGAACCACTTTGGATTATTACTTGAAATAGCTGCAAGCAGAAGCCGTAGATAATAATAATCTTCAAACTGTAGAGGTTGAAAGCTCCGAGAAGCCAAGAATGACTACAGCTGCCTTGAGTGAGGGTGGAACAAAGCCATATAGTTGTGAATAGTTTATGCAGATGAAATACAATCACAGAGTCAAAATGTGCAGTCATCAGGTTTGAGATCCAAGAAGCAGGTGGTACACATGTCTGTCTCAGGGTTTTGGAGGGGTTCCCTGGCATCAACCATCTCAAAGAAGCATAGACTAAAGAAATAGTTTTGATGTCTACAATTAGATAACACAAGGGGACCGTCACTTCAAACACAAAATTATTCCTTGCCTATGGTCTTCTCCAGACATTCAATGAGGCAGATTGTTCCTGTTTTAAAATAATGCCTCAGAACTCAATGCCATTTTTTTCTGGAAGTGCTAAATGGAAGCTAATAATAGAGAGGAAATGTTTTCCAAGTTGTGCAACTGGCAACCATTACCAGAGGATCCATGAGCTTTTCAGATCCATTTTTATGTACTTTAAATCGTGGCTTGTCAAGAACTGGGCAACCAAATGTGTAGAGAATGTGGCCAAGGTAGCCCACTGCTCCTGAATTATTTATGACCTGATCATAACATTTGTAGATCTCTTTACTGCTTATAACAAAATCTGCATTAAAAATGTAACCTATAATCTTTTTCTTCTGTATGCCTAGAATAAAATGACCGCTTTAATTATTAACGTTTTAATAGCCCTGCAGTTTCAATGGTCACTTACTGACACTATAGTGTGATGGGGTTTCTTAACTCCTACTAATCTTAAGTACTGAAGAAATCACTACGGCTTTCTTGCCTAAAATTTTAGAGAAAGGAACATTTTTAAGGAGAAAAAAAAAACCAGTAACAATATTGAATAAATAATCTTGTGATTTTTGAGACATTTGAATATTTTTCTACAGCAAATGAAAAACATTAAAAAACCATATATACGGAGTCTGGATCTGAAAGCAGGCCTGTTCCTTCTTGACTAAAGGAGAATTTTATTGATGAATTAGCAGATTATTTGATCAATTTGCTCTCTTCCATTCCTAAGAAATAACTGAATATATGCATATATGTATGGTCCAATGCAGCATTGAGTCTAGAGAGCATCAGATGAGCAGCTACCCTTCCATTTTCCCTTTCAGACTGCCAACTTAAAAAATGCATAGCAGGTACTGAGTCGGTGTAAAATTATAAGCCCAGGCATTGATCCGTCTTCTTTAAATCCTTTCATTATAAATTCTGCTATTAGAAATTAAAATCTTGGCATGCTGTCGCTTCAGTCCACTGTCTTTACCTGCCTATTCTTGCCGATCATTAGCTATTCACTGCATGTGTGTGTTTAACAACCATTCTGTAATGCTGCCTTTTTTTCCATTTTTCATGGTTTCATTATTCCAGTTGGAAATGAGTGAAACTGCCAAAAGATTAAAGAAATGGATTCTTCGTTATTTAAGTAATGATTGCCCATCACTGGTCAGACAAGTGGCCTGGGATTCAGGTGACCACGTGTCAATATCTACAATTATCTACAATATCTAAGCCAGTCCTCCCAGGCTCCCTTTATAGACAATGGAGAGAAAAAAGTATTTTTAGAATGCAATATCATGTCAAATTAAACTTGTAAAATAGATCAGATGATTTGCACTCTAAAAATGCTAGTTTTAGTTGACTGTAAATGGAAACAAGAGTGGCAATGGAGATAAGAACTTAGGTGTTTGCTTTGTAGATGTCCAAAGGTAGATGAGATGAATGCCATCCCTGTTCTCAAATTAATCATATATGCCATAAATGGGATTTTGTGCGATGACACTTCTAACGTGAATGTACTGTGGCTGTGTTTTTTGATGTAAAGGACATAGTGCCATTCAGTGCTCTGCACAGAGGAGTAAGTCCTGTTCAGTGCAAGCACAAACAGAACTTACAGTCATGTTAGGACTACATTTCAAATGGATTAGATTACGCTGCTTTTCACCTTGGCTAAATAGTAGCAGGGGTTTGGCATGTCCACATACTTTCCAGAACGGATCAGTTTGGGGAACAGCATTAATACACTGATTGTAGACATACATGACGTGGTGTTTAATATTTGTATTGGAAGATAATTGTAATGGCCTTGACCAGATTAGGTCCTGCTACGCAAAGCAGCATATACCCTTATCACAAATAATACCTATCCTTGCCCCAGCAAGCTTAGAAGGAGCTAGTTTATAAACAAAGAAAAGGGAGGAACCTAAACGCAACTAGAATTATTTAGGAATGACACATGGCAAAGGCCTCTTGCATTAAAGAGGGTTGAAAAAGGTGACAGATGTTTAATGCTGAGATTTTTTTAGCTTCTACAGTTAATTTAGGACGTTGCCTTAATGGTGATTTTTCCTGTGGGTTTTTCCTCTTAGGATGATTTCCAGCACGCGGCCTCAGAAACTAACTGGGAGTCAGTCACAAGCTCTGTCTCAGTAAGTAATTTCTTGCTACTTTGCCTGTGGATGGATTGATAGGATGGCTTGAATCCAACTCATTGCAATGGCACCTGCACAGAGGAACCACGTATTCACCTTTGGCAGAGGAAGGCAGAAGTGTTTATCCAACTCAAACTGGAGTCAGCCAGTGTGTTTTTAAGGAGAAAAGATTCAGGATATGCCAACAGCTGTTGTAACCACATGAGATAGCCATTGGGAAACATTTCTTACTTCCAAACTCATCCTGCCAAGATGAAAATATGAGATATAAACTCCTTACAATTTTCAATTGTAAAATGTCTTGACCTAAATAGCAGACTATACTTAAAACAGGCTGGCAAGAAAATAGATCTAGTTTTTCCTTGTGAATACTGAGATTTTTTTAAGTTTTTGTAATAATATATTATAGTTGAAGTAAACATATTAAGCAGTAAAATGCTTGGGGGGAAAAAAAAGAGAGAAGGAAGGAAAACAAGTAATCCAGTACAAAATTTTATTTTTCTCTTCATTGCATTTGATTTGTGTCATTGGACAAAAATCTGTTCCCTCTTTCATTTCCCAAGTGAAGTTAAATTCTGAGGAATGGCAATGTAGCATCAGAATCATAATATGGACAGTCCTCTGCTGTGCATTCTGCTGACTGGTCAACATCATGTCACAGCTCTTATAAACTCCTGTTAAAACACATGAGACAAGGATAATTGCTCAAAGCAGACTTGAGACCAATGTTTGGAGCATTCATGGAAGAGGGTTTAGTGATGGCACCTTTGTTACAGTAGCTGCCAGGAGTTTCCAGTGGGGGAGCAGTAAATAAAATATGGGTAAATTCTACTGATTGGTGTCCAAGCCAGGCGTCAAGTAGAAAGAAGATTCTGTATTGCCAAAATTAGAAGAGGTTAAGCCAATCTCACTTGTGTTTACTCCTGAGTTTGCAAATGACACTTGCCCTTCATGTTACGATGTACTGATAGCCTTGAACTAATTGTGCTGAAAGTCCTGAGTAGTAATGTTGGCAGGGTTGAGATCTACTGGATGTACCAAGCAGGAGATGCTAAAGCACTGTTTTACTGAAAGACATAAACTCATTTTTCACTCTAATATGGGGTTGTAAAAAAAATCCATGGGATAGAATATTTGGTTTAAAAATATGGTAGGCTGATGTTTGAAAATGTAAGCCTAGGGCTCCCTCATCAGGTAACTATGAAAATGAGAGCAAGTATATGGTAAATGCCATGTTAGTTATCCTCCTTAACACTGTAAGGCACACAATACACCAAACAATAATCCAGTGTTCTTTTCATATTGAAAAAAAATGCTGGAACCTCTAGCACAAGAAGGAGATGGAACTGTTGGAGAAGGTCCAGAGGAAGGCCACAATGATGATCCAAAGGCTGCAACCCCTCTCCTATGAGGAAAGACTGAGGGAGTTGGGGCTCTTCAGCCTGGAGAACAGAAGGCTGCGGGGACGCCTTCTAGCAGCCTTTCAGTACCTGAAGGGGGCCTGTAGGAAAGATGGGGAAAATATTTTCAGCAGGGCTTGTTGTGATAGCACAAGGAGTAATATGTTTAAACTAAGGGAGGGTAGATTTAGATTAGATGTAAGGAAGAAATTTTTTACAATGAGAGTGGTGAAACACTGGATCAGGTTGGCCAGAGAGGTAGTGGAGGCCCCATCCCTGGTAATATTTGGGGCCAGGTTAGACGGGGCTCTCAGCAACCTGGTCTAGTTGAAGATGACCCTGCTTGCTGCAGCGGGGCTTGGGCTAGATGACCTCTAAAGGTCCCTTCCAACCCAAAGCATTCTATGATTCTGTGAAAAAGTGTATTAATTTTTCGCATCTATTTGCTTCTGAAAAGTAGTTGTTAATGTTACAGGTAGGGAAGTTCAGTACAAATATTACAGGTGTCAAGCCCAAGGTCACAGAAACCTACAGCTAAATCAGAAGCAGATCGCCAGTTTCATTGTTTTTTCCGTGCTATCTCCTGTCTAATAAAACATACGTTCTTCCACTGGGCATGCATTGCATAGCCCTTTCTTATCCTCAGGGAAAATAAGGTAAAGAGGTTGAGTAATTTTTCCCAAAGGCACCAAGGAAAAAATCCGAGGACATCCAGATTCTTCAAGCGAGAAAGGTTCAGAGATTCTGCTGTGGTCTGAGGGGCAGAAGACGAGATGACATACCGTTCTGCTGATAGTCAGTTAGCGTGGCAGATCTAAGTTTTGTCCCTCAAACCCACAAGCAACCCAAAGGCTCATTTTAAGATCTGCAGATGTTACAACTCTGAAAATTTGAGAGTGAGCAAATTCTTCCTTCCTTGTCGGAGGTCATATAACAGAGTCATATTTTGTTTTTTTTTTTAATTCTCAGAAAGCTAAAACCAACACTTCTGCCCTTAAGCCAGCATGGCAAATCCAGAAAACAGGGAAACAAAATTCACTCCTTATTATAAGCTCAGAAAGTATGGGCTGGATGAGTGGTCGGTGAAGTGGATTGAGAACTGGCTGAATGGCAGAATTCAGAGGGTTGTCGTCAGCGGTGCTGAGTCTAGTTGGAGGCTGGTAACAAGTGGTATCCCCCAGGGGTCAGTACTGGGCCCAGTCTTGTTTAACTTCTTCATCAAGGACCTGGATGAAGAGTTAGAATGTACCCTCAGCAAGTTTGCTGATGACACCAAACTGGGAGGAGTGGTAGATACACCAGAAGGCTGTGCTGCCATTCAGCGTGACCTGGACAGGCTGGAAATTTGGGCAGAGAGGAACCTGATGAGGTTCAACAAAGGCAAATGCAGGGTTCTGCACCTGGGGAGGAACAACCCCATGCACCAGTACAGGCTTGGGGTGGACCTGCTGGAGAGCAGCTCTGTGGAGAGGGACCTGGGTGTCCTGGTGGACGACAGGTTAACCATGAGCCAGCAGTGTGCCCTGGCTGCCAAGAAAGCCAATGGGATCCTGGGGTGCATCAAGAAGAGTGTGGCCAGCAGGACGAGGGAGGTTCTCCTTCCCCTCTACACTGCCCTGGTGAGGCCTCATCTGGAGTATTCTGTCCAGTTCTGGGCTCCCCAGTTCAAGAAAGATGAAGAGCTACTGGAGAGAGTCCAGCAGAGGGCTACGAGGATGGTGAGGGGACTGGAACATCTCCCCTATGAGGAGAGGTTGAGGGAGCTGGGCTTGTTCAGCCTGAAGAAGAGAAGGCTGCGAGGGGACCTTATAAATGCTTACAAATATCTGAAGGGTGGGTGTCAGGAGGATGGGGCCAAGCTCTTTTCAGTGGTGCCCAGTGACAGGACAAGGGGCAATGGGCACAAACTGAGGCACAGGAAGTTCCGTCTGAACATGAGGAAGAACTTCTTCCCTCTGAGGGTGACGGAGCACTGGAACAGGCTGCCCAGGGAGGTTGTGGAGTCTCCTTCTCTGGAGATATTCAAGACCCACCTGGACAAGGTCCTCTACAGCCTGCTGTAGGTGACCCTGCTTCGGCAGGGGGGTTGGACTAGATGACCCACAGAGGTCCCTTCCAAACCCTACTATTCTGTGATTCTGTGATTCTGTGATTAGGTTAGTTTCCAATATATGTGCAGTAATGTTATGACCAACAACAGCTGTGATGCACGTTGAACTGCCTGTCAGCTTCACAATACAGATAGAAAATGGAAAAGAATGCGGGAACAAATTAAGGGTAAGAGCACTGACAAAAAAAGATACTGTTGTGTCCCATGAAATTAAAAATGCATTCAGTGCTTTTAAGAAACATAGAAGAGGCACATAATGTGGAAGATCGTTGCTCTTCATTGCTTCTTGCATTTGACCCTCTTGCCCTTTCTTTGGATGCAATCTCAGAAGCCAGATTATGGCAAGCACAAGCTCTTCTGAAGGTAGTGCCTGGTTCTTGGCAGGACAAAAGAGAGGCAGTTGGGTTGGCAGCTTTGAAGTTGCTTTTGGGCCTGTCACACGATGTCGCTGGCAGTAGGTTATCCGAGCTGTTGAAATAATTCCTCTTGACTTGCCTGTCACTGAGAAAAAGTTAAGCTTTCTTCTGTGTGAACGAGGTTGCACAAATCTCTTGAGTAGGAGCTTTTATATGAAAAAAAAATGGGGAATCCCTACTGCCTATAGGAGTTTGAAATGCCCTGCCTATAAATTCACAGCCTAACCTGCAGTTCTGTAATGAAATGCACAGTTAAACACACAAAAAAACCCTCTCGCGTTGTCTAAGCCACACACCTGTGGCCTGATTTTTATGCTGCTGTTTCTTCAGTGTCCTTGCACCATCTCCCTCACTTTTGGAAGGTAGTCAGGGACTGACGTTTCCTTGTTGGGCTGCCGTCACAGATGAACCCTGAGCTCTGCTGAGCTCTCCTCAATAAGCAAGGAGCATTTGGGTGCATTTTTCCTTTGTAACCTCAAAGACTGCATTAGCGCATTGCAGGATTCCCACCCACAGCACAGTCTCTCCTGCAGCATTGTTTTGGAGAGCAACGCTGTGTTCACTTTGCAGGCGTGAGCTTTTCAGCTCCCGGGGCTCCCGTCTCTCTGACGGTCCCTATTCCAAGCCACTTAGAAGTCAGGAGAGATGCTTTGAGGTATGCCTTCCCTTCTAGTGGGTCATGAATTTTTACGGTCATCTGCACTGTGTCTTGTTTAGCGCTGCATTGTGGAGGCATTACAGTCACAAGCAGGCCTTCTGAAACTTCTTATGCTGTTGGCTATAAGCAGTAAAGCTCAGCTATGCTTGCTTGACTGCACCACTGTAGCGTTTCTTTTTCTTCTTTTTCTTGTTTTTAATAATTTGGGCTGTCCATACTTTCAGCAAAAGTGCAGTAAAATATCAAGGATTATTACTTTTGTGGTATAACTTACCGTTACAGACAATTCCTTTATTTTAAAAGACATATATTATTTAAAACTATTTTAGTAAGCATTCAAGGACACAATCCTGCAAACAAGTGAGCAACTTTGCTCAAATGAGTTGGCCTTTCCATTACTACCCAACTGAGTGAAGTTAATTGCAGAGATTAATAGTTTAACATATGCATTTATTTGGGAGATGAGGCAAAAAATTGTTTTGGGGAGCCATTAATTTTAAGTGGCATATTTCTGCTACATTACTTCAGAGCTGGCTTTTCGTGAGAGAAGAGGGTTTCTAGAGTTTTTGCCCCAATGGCTTAACTTACAAGACCAAAATCCAAACAAATCTTGTGCTATATTATGCTTCTTGTTGAACAAAATCAGGTGGTCCTTCAGAAAGTAACAGATCTGCATTAATAGTTTTTCTTGCACATATTTTACATATACTATTAGGCTTTGCTCTTGGACAAGGGAAAAAGTGGTATGAAGGTAGTGAATATTATGATTCTAAATAATGATTATTAAAAATGTTTAAAGTCCTCTCAACTAAAACCGAAATTGCTGCAATCTTTCGATCAAAGTTGAGTTGTGCCACAAGTTCAATGGAAACCAAATATACGCAGAGAATGGTACTTGGCCCTTCCTGGTGTGAAATTATATTCCATTTGCTATTGTGTTATAACTGTGAGAATATAACTATGTTGGTAATCCCAGTATTCATTGTTACATTGCTGAGATCCAAATACTACATTTTTTCTTGTTTGCTTTGTAACTTGTATTTTTGGTAAAAGGGTAGGAGAGAACATTCATTGGTGTTTCATAATACATTTAGTTCTTGTGAATAAAGGGCTATCTTTTCAAGTCTTTAACCAAGCCAAATTTGTTGTCCAGATTGACCAGGGAAAGAAAGATGGTCTAGTGGACTTCTTGCGTTTGTCTTTCTCTGCCATGGTATCTAATCTGCCTGTTAAGGATTTACCAACAGAGCTGGCAGAACTGTGAAGGCAGCACCCAACCCCTACATGTCACCTCCATTCTGTAGTCATGGCCATCACAGTGGTTTCAAAAGACATTTCGATTACACTTTGTGTATGCGCAAGCCAGCATCCCGTTTGAGGATCAGGTGTGCATGCTGACAGTCCAGCAGTTCCACTCCCTGCATCTCCTCTGCGATTTGCTTGCGAGTTCCGTGGTGTCTCTTCTCCTTGCAAATGAGCCCATAGGCATAACAAAGCTTGGTCCGGCTAAGGACTTTAAAAGATGGCCTGTTTCCGTCATTAATGAGACATGTTTCTCAGTAAATGTTGTCAATTGTTTTGAGTGGTGCTGTAATTTATTCCAAGTACACTGAGATGTATGTCACTCTTAGGGGGTATCCTATCCCTCTCCATCAGTGACTGACCCTACGCTCACGGCGGAAGCACTGGATCAGACCATTGCTGCATTTGACACAGTGGAGGATCTGCTCAAACACTTTAACCCGGACTCCTGGCAAGAAGATCTTGAGAATTTGTACACAGACAGTGGGCACCATTATCGAGGCAGGAGCTACCATGACAGGAAGTCCAAAGGTAGGAAAAGGCACTATATGTATACTATGGGGCAAGACCAGGCTATTCCTTCACTCCTTGCACAAATGTCCATTCATCAGGTGTTAGACTCTGGTGCCAGTGTTCCTGTTGGAGCCACAGGGCAAGCTACCACTTGTTAAAACCAGGCATAAGTCACTTAATCCTTAATCATTTTCTGACTGTGTAGGATCTTGCTTGAGAGATAAGTCTGAAAACTGCCCATCTTTATGATGAATTCACAAACGAAAACATAGGTCCATGTGTAAAGGACAGATGGTTCTCAGCTTCACCCTCTTAAACACTGCTTTGTGTGTAAGGCATGGGGCTCCTAATTGCCCGTACTATCATCCTCCTTTAAAGACTCTGCTTAGGGATTGTTCTCTGTTGAGTGAGGAATAATCGCTTTTATCACATTGTGCTTAGGGAAGCATCTGGTGCAGACACCTGTATGTGCAGCTGGTTTTTTAGGATGTGAACATCTCACTGTTTTTCATTATGTTGGCAGGGAACATTATTACGGTTTAACGTCTTTGACTGTAATTGAGCAAAGCACACATTTTTGGGTTATGTTTCTTGTTTCCTTCTGTTAGTTCAAATCATCCACCAAATGGTAAAGCAAAGGGATGTTAAGCTAACAGTACAAACCCATAACGATAAAGAAACACTGTTTAAAAGAGACAGTGGTGCTCTGGGGTAACCACGCACTGAAAGGCCTGATGAAATTGCCCTTTATGTGCAAGTACAGATCTAGGAAGTATGTTAGGGTTCTTCAAGATAACAATTGCTGTAGTTTTCCCAGGAGATCTGGAGTGAAATATCTTATTTTAGTTCTTTCTTAATATTATTTCTTCCATTTCCAAGTTACGTATTCATATGCATTCTTCTTTATAACTTTAAAATTATAATGTTGAAGTCACAGTCCTGATTCTGTGCAATCTACCATTTATTTGCATCTCAAATCCCATCCCCCCTGTGTTAAGCATGTGCTAAGCAGGGAGAGAGGATTTTAATTTTATGTTTGCAGCTGAGTTGCTGTCACATGATGAGGCTTTGATCTTCAAAGGGATATATAGGCTGTATCTGTATTAGGGAAAATAGTGTCAAAGAGTGTTACCAGGCCTTGAAATCTACTTCTTGTATTCCTATTTTATCAGCCTGGTCTCTGCTTAGTTTTGGCCCAGGCCAAATGTCATTCTCCCAGGTCATTGCTGGGCATGAAACAGGAGTCGACAGAGACCAGCTGCCATTCCCAGTGGGCAGTTTGCTTGTGGCCACCTTGTCTTGGAGATTAAGAGGCTAGTGACAGGGCTGTGGACTGTCCTATGGCTGTTGATCTTCATGCAGGAGAATGACCTCAGGCACAGACAAGGTATTAGTAGATACACAGCCACCTTGGCCTACAGTTTCCAAGACAAGTTGGCAGTCTCTGGTTTTGGGCTCAGCACATCAAAGGAATCTGCAATAAAGCCCTGAGCACCCATCTGGTGAAAACTGAGCCCCTTTACTTTGTTCCATTTTGGCACATCAGAAATTTCAGGCAAGCACAACAGCACGTTTGGTGAAAAGCATCACCTAACTGCCGCTGCATCACTCTGAGATCAGGTTGATCTCATTTAGGGGTCTGTGAAAGACGGGCTGTGTGTCACTTAGTCCCAGTCACAGGGCTTATTTCAACCTTTGTATTTATAATCAGGTCTTTGGGAGAAAAAAAAAAAAAAAAAAGTCTGTTTTGATTTGAATAGAAGCTGATTAGAAACATGGATACTGTACTGGTTCTGCTCTCCAGATTTCATTTGATTCTCAGATCATATCTGGCCTAGTACCCCAAACGTTTAAATGACCATGTATATATAAAATAGCATTTACTGCCATATTGGGGTTGGTCATGTAGGCTACAGGTATCAATCTAATCTGGTAGTGCTTGGAAAATTCAGATGCATAAAGGTTTCTCCATTTAGTGTAAATGTTATTCAGTTTCTTGCGTAAGGAAACACTGTAAAAGACCTAAAGAGCTCTCCAGTTATTATTTTAACACTTGATTAATTTTAATAGGATTTTTTTGTTGCTGTTTTGGTTACAGGAATAAGCAAAAAAGGTTTTATAACAGGTTTTTTTTTTGTCTTCAAACCAAAGGCCAAATTCCCTGACTATTAGCAGCCCTCTGGACAAAAATATCTCACCATAATCAAATCCTTAAAAAATTTCAGTTAAGAATTTTTATTTAGTCATAAAATTTTGACAAGATTAAAGGCTTGTTCTTGGATGATGTCAGGAGTAGGGAATAGCACTAACAAGTCCTTAAATTAGCAATGCTTGGTGGGTTTTAAACACAGATACTGTGGATCTCTGAGGAATGTTTATAGGCACTGGAATAACCTTGCAGCAAAGAGAGCAATAGATTATATCATCATTTATTTCAGATATCTATCTGTTTCTGCTTCTGGTTTGCGTTTTATTCTTTATCCTTAGCTATAACAACCCTGAGGCAGATTAGAATGATTTGATGTAATCTCTGCCTATCTTTCACACCATTTTCGGAACATGTCATATAAATGGTACAAATGAATCACTAATGATTTCACTCCTATCCAACTCTCTGCCCATAACAAATAGTGCCACAAAATTGAGCTTAAGAGGCAGTGTTGCTGAATACCAATTCTGATAACAGGTGCAAGTGATAAATGATATTTAAATGGCATGTTTTCTTAATCTGGCAATCAGTAATCCACAAAGATGAGGATGAGGGTCAAAGGAATAAGAAGTACAGTGGTTTAGTGTAGCTGAAACTCACAGAATCACAGAACAGATGAACTGAGAAGGTACATCAGGACACTGCGGAGTCCAACCTCCCTGCTCAAGGCAGGGTCACCAACAGCAGGTTGATTGGGACCGTGTCCTGTCAAGTTTTGAGTATCTCCAAGGATGGAGACTCCACAACCTCTCTGGGCAACTTCTGTCTGACCACCTTTGGAACAAAAAAAAAAAAAAAGGTTTTTAAACATTGAAAAGAAGTTTTTCTGTGTTACAATTTGTGTCCAGTACCTTTTGTCCTTTTCAAAGACTCTGGCTACATTTTCTTTACTCCCTCCCATCATGTATTCATACACAGTTATAAGATTGATCCTTCCCTGCGTACCTCCTGCAAGAACCTTAAAGATAAAGAGTGTATTGGTTAAATCTGTATGTATGATAACTCCATTCCATCTACAAAATCTGATCTCACACCTCTGCAACACTGATGCAACTCTACTGAGTTCAATGTGTTTCTTTCTGTTTACACCATTCAGGTAAGATACTGGCATCAAGTGTGTCTCACTAATAACCACATGAGGTTTTAAATTTAATTCTACATGTGTTCAGTGGGGTTTGCTGTTAACTACTCCAGTAGAAGTCAACTATAGAATTGCAGTGAAACCCAGACTGGAAGAAAAGGACAGAAAAGAATGGGGAAGATACACATTTGAATTTACAAAATCCTTAAATAAGGGGCCTTGTATAAGCTATAAACTACAGTGTACACCTCCTACATGAAAATATGGCAAGTAGATGTTTCAAATAACCTTTGCAGTAGTTGTGAGTATACTCAAAAAGGTTTTCCTAGACTTTTTCATAGGAAAAAAGCAGGTCAGACCAAATGAAGTATATCTTTTAAAAGAATTCCTTTTTCATTGCTGTAATATGTTGTAGCTGACCTCAGTGTTACAGCAATTTGGCTATTACAAATATCTAAAAGTATATCACTGGCTATTGGGTTATTTAGTACTGTTCTTAGCAAGAACACAGTTAGATATAAAAAAGAAAACAGACATACTCTACGATTATGTTGAACATCTAGACAAATAGGTCTCTGTTCCTTAAGAGAGTCAGAAGGAGCATTCAGATATGTTTGAAGGAAACCTCCTCACCCTGCCGTTTAAATTTTTGAAAGCATCAATGTATCTGCTCTGCCTGATAATATTAGAAGAGCTCCTCAGAGATACTGTTGTAAACAGTTCCAACCATCAATTAAACATCATTTAACTTTTCCCACATGCTTGTTTGCATTTATCTTTTTTTACACTCTGAAGTTTTACGTCCCATTGAAAAAGGCTTTGTAATTTTAAGAATAGACCTGTGCCTCTGAAGTGTGTACAAATGAAGGCGGAAAGGAGAAAGAATAAGTTCACTGTTTCTTATCATAGAGGTAGATCTAGGGGATGGTACCTAGAGAGGGAGGTCATCTTTAAAAAAGGAAGTTTTTTTTCACCACTAAACCTAGGAATCAGGAATGCATGTGGATAGATACATTCTGGAAATTAACAAGACTACACACGCCTCTGAGCTCAGTTTCTTTTTGGTAAATAGTATGCAAGAAGCCTTACGCTATGAGAAGAAACTAATTATGTGGGACATTCTTCCAATAACATCTGTCTGCAATGACAGCTTTACAAGTTAAATAAAAAATACTTGCTGGCATAGCCACACTGCTCTCTAGAAGGGGAGTAGCAAGATGCATGGAATATTTCTGCTGTCCATTGCCAAACAGGTTCCCAAGATCAGGCAAGTCTCACCATGTCCTCAACAATAGTTTTCAATTGTCACTACTTACAACAGTCTAGCAAGAAGTTAAAGTTTTAACTGAGGAATGTAGTTTCTCAGGGGTTGGCAAACAGTGGCCAATAAATTACTGTAAACATCCATGTACTCATCCTTGAAAGGTTCTGGGATGGCTGCCAGCAAGTTTCACTGCACCAGACAGGGAGTGCAGGCATCACAAATGCTGAATGCCCACTCATTCATGGCAAAAGTGAATATTCCAAGTAGATGGAGTACCTTTTCAAATAGCTGCTAATTTAAAGTATTCCCTGTGCTTAAAAAACAGGATATTTCTTCCACCCTACTTCAGTTGGGAACCGAGTTGTCTGTTGCATTCAAACTGCACACATACCTGCATTTCATAATCTAGTTCAGATCTACATCTGTAGTCTTCCACCTCTGTGACAAATTAGATTTTCTCTCTT